ATTAAGGGATCGTATCTGAAAAACTAGCTTTAACACAGCTCCAAATATATTCAAGCTGGAATTTAACTTAAAAGTCTTCATTCATCAAGCTGTTTCATTCAAGTTTTATTGATCATCTCATAAATCGTTTTATTAGATCTCTTCTAATTAGCCACTAGCAATCACTCAAGCAAAAAGTACTCATATCTGAAATCCTAGTTTTTACACTTTACCCTTGTGCTTTCCAAATTGTAACTTTTCTCATATGCTCCAGTTGCTTTTAGCAACAGGAAACATGTTGAATCAGTTTGTGATCTGTATTACTTACATCTTTTCCTGCTCATCCTGCACAAGCCTGCACAGGTTTTCAGATTCTATATTGTTTCCACCTAGATTCTTTCCTGTAAAACATTTTTAAAAATAATAATAATGCAGACATTCTCAGAGAAATTGCTACTTTCAGTGAAAATTCTTATTTTCTTTTTGAAAAAAAAAAAATGCTTTTTTTCTGTTGAGTTCTAAAGCTAATAAATTATGAGACTGACAAGTGAGAATTACTTGACTTGCTGAGGAATGAATAAGTATTACAGGGCTTTGAGCAACCTGATCTAGATGGAGGTATCCCTGCCTACAGAAGAGTGGTTGGAACTTAGAGTTCCCTTCCAACCCAAACTATTCTATGGTTCTATGATTAAGGAAAAAGAAGGGCAAGGTAATGATAGTCCACCAGAACTGATCAAAAACAGTGCTAATTTGGGTCCCATTAGACATTCAAAGTATCTCTTTTTCTTTGGTCAGTGGAAGAACAACAGTGACAGCTACATCTGCCTATCTTTGTATCAAGTCACTTTCAGGAGTAAGAAATAGTATTAGTTATTGTGCAAATGTTTTCTGTCCAGACAGTTGTTATCTACCTCCCATGACACAGAAGTTCAATTTGAATGAAACATTCCATGCATGTGTTCTGTCCCAGGAAATGCCTCTATGACTGTGCTGTGATAATGAAAAAGATTTTAATCTTAATTGCAGCCCTCACATTCAAAACAAACCCATGATATTTCAGGGATGTCAGCAGATTTACAAAAGCAGAAACAAAATAGAAACCAAACCATTCCTCCCCTCTCTCAGGAGCAATCTGGCTATGGCTCTCTCACTTCTATTGTCACCTCTGTTCTTGCCAAAAAAATGCCACAAAATCTTTTAAATTCACAGACATTATTTCTCTGATGCTTCCAGATATAATTTTGGCTCAGGATATGAAATATCTGTGAACTCATCAATAATCTCTTCTAAGACAAAGATTTTTATTTTCCATTGTAAAATCAAGTACCAAAGATTCATTCTGTAGGTTTGGGATTAATGCTACGCGTTCTCACAGGTTAACAGAGCAGACAAGGTTTAAAATGAATCATACTTAGTGTGAAAATATATTCATTACAACAGCTAAAGTAAGGAAACACATCATCTTTATATTTTTAATCCAAGCAGTCAACTTAAAATTAAAGTTCAGTGGCATATTAGCTAGATAAAATATTGTGAGGCTTAGAGGATACTGTGCTTAATAGTACATGTAGTAGAAAGAATGTATTTTTATAGCAGTATAACATTCCAGAGCACTTTTAGGTTTGCAGCATCAGAAAAGTAAAAATAATCCAGTCAATTTTCACAGGGTGCTTGTTGCACATTCACAGCCTCCACTTTCTTAATCCTGTCCTTCAGGCTGATCCAATCTCAACAGCTGTGGGAGTTGGTTTCCAGCTTTGTACAACTACAGCCACTCCCTCTCCAGTTGGCTGAATCAGCTGGTGACACCAGCTTCCAAGCATCCATATACCAAGCTGGTTGAGAACGCATGACCTCATGTGTCTAAAGCTAAGGATGTTCTGTGAAATAATGAACTGCCAGGCAGGTTGAAAACCAATATGAATGTAATTCTGTTTGCTTTCTTCCCAGAAGAATTTCTACAGCTGCTGATAGCTGGGGAGATACCCTGTTCTATTACTAAACAAGTTCAGCCTTGCTTAAAAATGAATTAATAATCTCAAGAAGAGGTACAGAAAGCACCAATGCCAAATTGTAGCAATAGTAGTGTAGTGTAAGGAAAGTAACTGTTTTAGCAAAATCAATTAGAAACAATGTTTTTATTCTGCTTGCTTATTCTGAATCATGCCCATGTTTCTTCCTCCAAGCAACAAGATGAGGAATTTTCATGATAGAAGCTACTACAGGTTGATAAAGCTCTCTGACAAGGAGCTTTGGTGAATCAGCTTCCCATCCAGTTCTCATATATAAATCCATCTGAAAAGAAATCATGGAGGATGACTAGTAACTAAGATTTTGTCACCCATCAGATTAATCTGACATGATATTTTAGCACTTTCCCTCAGAAATTGATCCTTCTTATCCCTGATTAACTACAGGTCTCTGAAAAGAGCTGAAATAAGAGTGAATATTTGATTTCATGTTGATCTTAAGGGATGATAGGAATCCAGAATTAATATCTTGGAAGCTTTGGAAACTATTATGAAAAACACAGTTCTCATCCAAGAAATGCAGTTGAGAATATTAAACCAAGAATTAAAAATTAGTTCAGTGAAGAGTAGTGAGGAAATCAATTGAAAGCAAAGTAATAATACCTTGAATTCTGAAGATAGGTCATGGCAAATGACAAGGACTTCTGAAGAAACTCCAATTTTTTGTTTGTTTGTTTGTTTGTTTTTGTTTGTTATTTTGTAAACAAGAAAAAGAACTAGTGAAAATTTCTCAAGAAAGTAGAAGTCAGAAAAACCAGTCTTGTGGAAAAGAAAATGTAAACCCTGCAAATGTTCACATATTCATAAAATCATAGAATCATAGAGTTGGTCAGGTTGGAAAAGCCCTTAAAGATCATCAAATCCAACGGTAACCTAGACATACTACCCTAACTTTAATGACCCACAGCTAAATCATGTCCCTGAGCACCACATCCAAACAGTTTTTAAATACATTCAGGTATGGTGACTCAGCCACCTTCCTGGGGAGCCTATTCCAGTGCTTAACTACCTTTTCTTAAGGGTTAACATGACTACCCTTTCATTTTTATTTATTAATCAATAACGCAGTGGGTAATTTACACTACTGAAATCACAAGGTGCCATAATTTCATTTTTAGTCCTTAGTGAAAAAAAATAAATCATTTTTTTTTCTTTGACTTTCTGTCTTTAATGCATATTAATCTGTTGGCATACAGTATATAAAGAGAAGCAATGGTTACAAGTAACAAGACAAATGTAATTTTACTCAATCTACCTAATCACATTTTCTGTCAAACTGTTGAAGCTTCACCTGCGTAATCAGTTTTCTACCAGAAAACTCTGAAGATAGGTCCAAAGGTTCAGAATGTGGAGATAAAAAGGAGATGCAGTGAAGTAAATGCAACTGTGTAATCAATGTGTGTTCATATGAAATAGGATGAAACTAAATTAACATGTTTTCAGGTAAAAATAGTTTAAAATGAACAAGTAACAATACTTTATGTGTAACAGAAATACATGATGAATACAGTTAATTCTCTTTCTGATCCAGGCTCAAAGTGACAGTAGATAATAATAATCTTCTGCATTATTGGCTATTTGACAGAAAACTCTCAGTGGGAGAATTCTGAATTTTGCCTGGCTTTTACCCTATTTGTCTACACAAGGTCCATTGTTTGTCTCAGAAATGTGATCAAGAAATGAATGGACAAGTAAGAGAAAGCCAATTCCATTTTTATCCTTTTTTTAATAAAATTTATCATCAAAATCTGTGTAGATACTTGTGCTACCTAAAATGTTTCTCCTGTTATGAAAATATTTTTTACAGAGGCTTTTTATCTACACTCAGAAATAGCCTGCTTAAAAGGAAAGAATATATCCCATACATTTTATTTTGAATTATGCTCCTACTTGGGATGCAAAGAGGGATTTAAAGTTCTGCAAAACCTGTAAGTAATACGGGAGAGCTCTACTAAATCAACAACTATAACATCATAATTGTAGAATCATAGAATCATAAAATCGAAGAATCCTTAGAGTAGGAAGGGACTTCTGAACGCCATCTAGTCCAACTCGTCTGCAGATAAAAAGGACATCCACAGCTAGATCAGGTTGCCCAGAGCCTTACCCAGCTTTGCCTTGAAAGTGTCCCTGGATGTGACATCGACCACATCACTGGACAACCTGTGCCTTCCAGTGCCTCACTGTCCTCACTATAAAATATTTTTTCCATATATCTTACCTAAATCTACACTCTTTGAGCAGAATAATAACACTCTTTGAGATTATAATGACTAATATCAGCTCAGCTATAGGTATTTTTTTGTCCCATCCAGTGCCAGAGGAAGCATGTTTCTATTCATCCTGTGTACACAGAGTATTGACTCATATTATCAGGAAGCTTAGAAGCATAGGCATCCCCAGGCTTCTGAACTCATCTGCTATCAGCTCACACAAAGACTTCAGTGTTCTGAGATAAATTATCCCCTGGAATGTTTTTGTTTTTGGAACTGTGTTCTGAAAGGCAGTCTTTGCTAGACATCTGGAAAGAGAGTGCATAGGTTAAGGATAGCAAATGGGAAAATCTTGAGAAAATAACACATGAAAAGGAGAATACGTGGTGGGAAAAGTGGTGCAGGTTAAGTGAGGAGGTGAAAGGGGACTGTCTTACCAAGAGGATGACTTGCAAAGAAGCTTACAAAGATTGTTTTTTCTTCTGGGGCTTGGGCCAAGGTGCTTCAAATGACACACATCACTCCCAGCAGAGTGGGAGGACAGCTAGCTTGAGATTTTATATGAAAGTGAAATCTTTGAGATATAAATACACAGAGAAAATTACGCAAATTCTATGGGTTTTGTTTTGTTGTGTTATTTAGTTATAGTTGTTTTTAAAGACATCAGTTGCTGTTAGAGAAATGGTATGTTACATTATAGCTGTAGATCATATTGTGTAGGAAAAAAAAGAAAGAAAACAAAGAGGCTTTAAGCATGAACTTGATTTTAGTCCAGGTTTTTTTTTTTTTTTTTTTTTTTTTTTTTTTTTTTTTTTTTTTTTTTTTTCCTTTCATCTGGACTGTTCATAATTGCCCATAATAGAAAAATGGATATCTGAACAAGCAGTATGTGAGATGTGCTATGCTATGTATACCCTCTGTAAATTTGCAGACTACACCAAGATGCGAGGGGGTGTTCATCTGCTGCAGGACGGAAAGGCACTACAGAGGGACCTAGATAGGTTGGATCAGTGGGCCAAGGTAAATTGTATGAGTTTCAGTGGGCCAAGCTAAACTGTCTGAGTTTCAATAGGGCCAAGTACCAGGTCCTGCATTTTGGTCACAACCCCAGGCAACCCTATAGGCTTGGGGAGGAGTGGCTGGAAAGCTGCCTGATGGAAAGGGATCTTGGTGTACTGATGGACAGTCGGCCAGCAATGTGCCCAAGTGGCCAAGAAGGCCAACGGCATCCTGGCTTGTATCAGGAATGGTGTGGTAAGCAGCACCAGGGAGGTAATCCTGTCCCTGTACTCAGCACTGGTGGTGCCTCACCTCGAGTACTGTGTTCAGTTTTCAGCCCCTCAATGCAGAAAGGACACTGAGGTGCTGGAGCAGGTCCAAAGAAGTGCAACAAGGCTTGTGAAGGGCTTGGAGAATATGCCCTATGAGGTGCAACTAGGGAACTGGGGCTCTTTAGTCTGGGGAAAAGGAGGTTGAGGGAAGACCTTATTGATCTCTTGAAATATCTGAAAGGTGACTGCAGTGAGAGCAGAGTTGGTCTCTTCTCACTGGTGACAGGTGACAGGATGAGGGGAAATGGCCTCAAGTTATGCCAAGGGAGGTTTAGATTGGCTATCAGGAAAAACTTTACAGAAAGGGTTGTCCTGCATAGAAAAAGGTTCCCCAGGGAGTTAGTCAAGTCGCCATAGAATCATAGAACCACTGAATGACCTGAGCTGAGAAGGATCTCAAAGATCATCTGGTTTCAACCCCCTGCTATGTGCAGTGTCACCAAACAATAGACCAGGCTGCCCAGAGCCACATCCAGCCTGGCCTTGAATGTCTCCAGGGATGGAGCATCCACAACCCCCTTGGGCAACCTGTTCCAGTGTGTCACCACCCTCTGAGTGAAATACTTCCTCCTAATATCCACCCTAAATCTCCCCAGTCTCAGTTTAAAACCATCCCCCCTTGTCTTATTACTATCCACACTCATAAACATCCATTCCATCCTCCTGTTTATATGCTCCATGCCAGTATTGGAAGGCCACAGTGAGGTCTCCCTGGAGTCCCCTCTTCTCCAAGCTAAACAAGCCCAGTTCCCTCAACCTTTCTTCATAGCAGAGGTGCTCCAGCCCTCTGATCATCTTAGTGGCCCTTCTCTGACTAGCTCCAAGAGCTCCACATCTTTCTTGCACTGGGGGCCCAGGCCTGGACACAGTACTCCAGATGGGGCCTCACAAGAGCTGAGTAGAGAGGGATAATTACCTCTCTTTCCCTTCTGGTCACCCCTTTTTTAATGCAGCCCAGGATATAGTTGCTCTTCTGAGCTGCAAACGCATACTGCTGGCTCATGTCCAGCTTCTTTTCCACCAGGACACCCAAGTCATTTTCCACATGGCTGTTCTCAAGGGTTTCTTCACCCAGTCTGTATAAATACCTGGGATTGCCCTAAACCAAGTGCAGCACCTTGCACTTGGCCTTATTGAACTTCATTAGGTTCATATGGGCCCACTTCTCCAGCCTCTTCAGGTTCCTCTGGATGGCTTCCTTTCTCTCCAGTGTATTGATTGCAATTCTCAGCTCAGTGTCATATGCAAACTTGCTGAGGATGCATTCAATTCCATTGTCTATGCCATTGATAACGAAGTTGAAGAGCACCACTCCCAAAACCAAGCCTTGGAGGACACCACTTGTGATCTGCCTCCACCCTGACATAGAACCATTGATCACAACAGTGTTTAAAATCTTTTTAGATGTGGTGCTCAGGAACATGATTTAGCAGTGGGTTGTGAAAGTTAGAGTAGTGTGATTTGGTTGTGGTTGGACTTGATCTTTAAGTTCTTTTCCAAACTGAGCAATTCTACGATTGTATGATTCTATGTATCATTCCCAGAATCTTCACACTTCAGCCCGTTTCCCCTCTAATCAAACTTCAAGTCTTTACCTAATATTCTGATGGTTTGCTGATGTTTGCAAACATAGATGTCTTTACAGTTCTTGTGGCCCTTCTCAACAGTAATCAAATGCCTTTCACTACCAATGTAGCTGGAACTCACTTCTACTCAGCATACTAAGACGATCATTGTAAAAAAACATCACAGCAAAATTTTTGAGGCTGATTTCACATGTTCAGACCAATGCAGGCTGTAAAGTCCTACCAGAACAATAAAACTAAGCAAGAAGCCAGCACTGTTACAAGTTTGTTTTACAATGGCATGTGACAGAAGAAGCATGCTAATTGTATACAAATACAAAAAAACATTAAGTAGTGTCATAGGTTGAGAGTTAGCAGTCAGCAAGCTCAAGAAACTATGCTCATTATTTGCTTGTTTGTAGATACTATTGTAACATAAACACAGTAGTCAATAAAAGCAAAAAAAGAAAAGGTTGAAAAAACAGTCTTCTATCACAATTATGCCAGACAAGTTATCAATACGTGAAAATAACTTCAAGCCCAGAAGCAAATTTCAAAAACAGTTCTATCCGTTCCATGAAATGATAAATTCCATGAATAAGAAAATAATTCAAGGCATGTAGCAACACAAAGTATACAGTAAGAGGGAAAAAACAACGAAGGTGAATTTGTAGTCTAATGATCACAGCAGTGAAGATTACCAGTAGGCCACAGGCACTTGGTAACAGTTTTAGGCTAGAACTGAGCGCTAGACTGTATACCAAAAAAAAATTTTAGTCAGTTCCCATTGACAGAAAGTCAAATACTTTATATCACCTAAAGTATGATTTCAGAAATACATCCACTTGATCTGAAAGCAGAAAGATAGAAATTCTACTGTTTTCCTAGACACTTTATTCTCTTAGGAGATCAGAAAATGAATGTTCACAGACTGTCAAAAACTTGGAATTTGATTCTACCATTTCAAGGTTTCAGCCATATTAGCTCAGTATAAAGAAGGATTGAATAAACATGTAAAAGACTGAAACAATAGAAGTGTAAGGGAGAAGAATCAAACAGAAGCTTCTTTCTGTTTTTCTTGATGACTACCATGGGTGTCTAATCTAATTTCTCCCATGCTCCCTCCCTAATTAAGGAGTCTTGGCTGTTGTGAAGCTCAGTCCTGGTGCCTACCTCCCCTACAAACTGCCCAAGGAGCTTAGATGTGCAAGAGACTTCTCAAACCTGAAACAATTTCAATGCAAACAGAGGCATAGTAACATTGGCTTTTATCTCTTTTTACAAATCCTCACTTCGAGCTTTTTAGTTTAATTTCTGCTGTTGAGAGTGCAGAAGAATTCCTATCAGTAAGCATGTAAAACATGATGGTGATCTGTCTAATCCTGTCATTAATCAACACATTCTAACACTTGAAAAGCTTCTATTAATGCACATGACTTCAGTAACAACAGCATGTGACAGGTATCTCCAGACAATTCCATTATATGCACATTTTTAACTCATCAAATAAAGTCTTTCTTCTCTTAAGTACTTCCTGAAGCTCAGACAAGAAGATACCAGAAAAATACATTTTTCGGCAATTCTTTAACTTTCATGTCCCCTTTACAGTGTTGTTCACACTGCTTTTTCTTCTGGTTAAATATATTCACACAATTGGTTTTATAAGCTTATCCTACTTCATGATTAACCAGATTAAATATTTTGGAAATGTATTTTATTTCAGAAACAGATTGAATTATAAAAAATTCCAGTGAAACGTGGGACAGAACGATACACAGCCTATTAAGGAAAAGAGTGATGTGCAGCATAAATGAGGAGGTGAAGGGTGAAAAGCAATTATAGTTCACATTTGTCTAGTCTGCAGCTATGTGTGCCAGCTGCAACTTGCTAAAAAATCAAGGAGCAGTGATCTGCCAGTATTTATTTTGTGTAATCATAAAACCTCATGGAGATATAAAAGAGGTTGTCAATGTGGTAGCTGAAAGACCTCTCCTCCCTACAAATAAGTGTATTTGGCATTTGCTTATGCTTCAGTGAAAAAGTCTCTATGTACACCACAACTACATTTTCATAGAGACTCTTTCATTGTTGATTCACAGTATTTAGCAAGGGAAATGAAATTGCAAATTAGTACAGATAGAAATTCTGTTTGAGTCATTTTCCACATTTCAATCCTACCTATTTTTCAGTCTCAGACAAAATCAGGACTGAGGATGAGGATAAAAACAGGAAACTGGTGTCCTAAGCACTGCTAGAAGGGACTGAGCAACAGCTGGCAAGACAGATGAAAAGACAATTTCCTCAGCTCCTGTTTTTGTCTGAACAAATATTTCACCATGAAACAAAGCCATTATACCTTCCACATGTACAATAGGTGTGCAGAATTTTATTGTGCAGAATAATAGCAAACAAGCAAACGAACAAAAGCATGTTAGTGCTTTTAAATCTTCACATAAATGTTTCCAAGTCCACATTTCTGCCCACCTGGATCAATAAATTAGAACATGAAATTAAGTGCACCCTCTGCAATTTGCTGATGATACTATGCTGAGCAGTTGACTCAACAGAAGAAAGAAGTGTCATCCCAAAGGACCTTTACGGGCTTGAAAAGTGGTCCCGGGGGAACTAAATGAGGTTCTAAACTAAATGAGGAACTAAACAAGGCCAAGTGCAAGGTGCAGCCTTTGGGTCAGGGTATTATCAAATGTGTTCCGACTGGGAGAAAAACTCACTGAGGGCAGCCCTGTGGAGAATGACTTGGTAGTCCTGGTGGATGTAAATCTGGAAGTGAGCCAGTTGTGTGCTTGCAGCCCAGAAGGCCAATGGTATTCTGGGCTGCATCAAAAGAAGAATGGTGGCAGGGAGAAGGAGGGGTCTGCTCTCATCTGCTATGCGTTTGTGAGGCATTATCTGGAATGCTGCATCTAGACATGGG